GAGCGGGGAGCGGCCCCTGCTGGGAATTGGCAGAGCAGCTACGGCCAGCCCAGCAGAAAGCAGCGGGCACCCGGGAGTGTCCCCATCGAGCTGCGGCCTGGGAGGAAGGGGGTTGGAGACCCGTGACCCGAATCTGGACAAGCGGCCACCGGTACGGGTGGCATCCGGAGCAGTCCCGCCCTGGGCCGGGCTGCCCTCAACCGTAAGTGCTACCGGCGGGGCGGCCGTGGCGAGTAGAGTCCCGGTGAGAAAGGAAGGCACAGGTGCGGATCGACCCCCTGGGGCGGAATGGGGAGCGCCTCCGGGGGAGCAGCCCCAGGCAGAGTTCAGAGCTGGAGGGTGACCACGTGTCGTCCCCGCAGCAGAGCTGTCGGCGAGCCCCGAGCGACTCAGGGTCCGGACCGCGCCCCCTAAGACCGCGGTGGGGAGGGGTCCTGGAGGCGGAGGCCCGCGCCGCGACTGAGCGAGGGCGCACTGACACCTGCTGGCCACTTATGGTCACCGCTGGGAAGCTACCCGCCAGCACCAGGCGCCTTCTCCCGCCCCTGCAGTCCTTTGCCTAAAGCGCCTTCTCCTATCTCAGGACATGTTTGAGTCCAAGCTCAGGAAAGTAGGACCCAGATTTTAAATTGCAGCGTCATGTTGCAGACATCTTTATAAAGCACACACTTTATGTGTCTACGCCCAGAGGGAGCGGGGATTTGTCTGCTAAGGTCAGACAAAGGAAGGGCTCGTCCTTCCACAGAGCCCAGGACTGACACCCACCCTGGACTGGCATAGCCCACCCTTCCCGCGATCCAACAGGCCTGGACTCTGCCTCTCTGGATACCCAGCTCTGGACAGCTGTGAACCATCGTGTCTTTGTTGCAGCAGGAAAGCTAGACTCTCACCCCACCCCCAGTTTACAAATGCACACACCCCATCTTTTAGTAAGGGGAGGGTGCTGGCCAAGAGAAGAGAGACTTTCCCATGTTCTCTGCGATAGGAATAGCATAGAGTTGGGGCGAATGGCTTGTTTTTCTCCGCATGCTTGATGTCCTTCAATAAATTGTAACAGTTTCTAGAGCACCAGCCTGTGTTGGGTATCTGCACTTTTCCAATGAGCAGTAGGCAGTTTAGGAGTAAGGCTCAAGAGGATGGAACTGTCAGCAAAAGAGAGATTAGACCTCAAGGAAAGTTCTTACAGCAAAAGCTTATGCAGACGCCTTAGCTGGAAGTTCCAAGGATTGAACAGATCACCTCTGCCCAGCAGGATGCAGGCTCAGGTGGAGGTTGGGGGGGGGGGGG